CTGTGAAGAAAAAAGCGGAGTTAATGTTTTGGGTCCGGTGACCCTTCCTCAGAACAGAGGAAGGGTCACCGTAACCAAAACATTAACTCTGCTTTTTTGCTTCACAGGTGCTGCCAGACCTGCTGAGCTTTTCCAGCAACTTCTGTTTTCTTTCCTGATTTACAGCATCTGCAGTTCTTTTGGTTTTTATTGAATCCATGGTGTTGGTTTTACTCTGTATTGCAGACCAGCCATGCAGCTAACTTGACTTAAGTTGACTTTAATCCTTCCCTGGAACCCTGACCCTTGATTGCGCAACGTCTGACTTTTTAAAAGCTTACCAAATTTCTGTTCGTTTCCAACTTGGGGGATCATGCATCAGCAATCACTCCTTTTTAATCTTTGTTTCTTTCTTCCCTATTCTACTTTTATTGCCTTTAGGTATTTTCTACATATTGTGATATATTTTACAATATGTTACTGCACCTGAAGAGCATGAAGAAAATAATGTCAAATGTACAAAAACTGCCAGTGTGAAACCATGACATTTATGATAATTTGTCCTAAAGGGAGTTTTTTTATTTAAAATAGAATAATTCATGATATTTCCCTGTTTTCATCAATAGTTTATGCTTTTAAGAAAAATTCATCATACTGTCGTTGTACTGTGCAAGTAACTTTTTTTTACTTTCCGTTTTCAGAATTCAATCCGCCACAACCTTTCACTGCACAGCAGATTTATCAGGGTGCAGAATGAAGGTACAGGCAAAAGTTCTTGGTGGATGATCAATCCAGATGGTGGAAAAGGTGGAAAGTCTCCACGAAGACGTGCTGTTTCTATGGACAATAGCAACAAATATGTAAAAAGCAGGGGAAGAGCAGCAAAAAAAAAGGCAGCTCTGCAAGCTGCACAAGAGGTTAATGCTGAAAGCCCATCACAGCACGCAAAATGGCCTGGTAGCCCAACGTCCCGAAGTAGCGATGAATTTGATGCATGGACAGACTTTCGTTCTCGTACAAACTCAAATGCTAGTACTTTGAGTGGGCGTCTTTCTCCTATAATAGCCAATCCTGAACTAGATCATGTGCAAGATGATGATGCTGCGCCATTGTCTCCCATGCTGTACTCCAGTCCATCAAGCGTTTCCCCTACTGCAAGTAAACCATGTTCTGTTGAGCTGCCTAGGTTGACTGACATGGCTGGAACCATGAACCTAAATGATGGATTGGCAGAACACCTGATGGATGATTTACTGGATAATATTAGCCTGGGTCCTACTCAGCAGTCATCACCAGGGGGCCTTGTGCAAAGGAGCTCAAGTTTTACCTATGGCTCAAAGAGTTCTAGTTTGGGCTCCACAAACAATTTCAGTAATTCCATATTTGAGCCACCTGCTTTGAATTCATTACGTCAGACTCCCATGCAAACGATTCAGGAAAACAAGCAAGCTACTTTTTCTTCCATCTCTCGTTTTGGCAGCCAAACTTTGCAAGATCTTCTTGCATCTGATTCTTTAAGTCACAGTGATGTCATGATGACCCAGACCGATCCTCTGATGTCACAGGCGAGCTCAGCAGTGTCTTTACAAAATTCACATAGAAATCTGCTTCACAATGATCCAATGATGTCATCCTTCCCCACCCAATCTAATGCAGCAAATCATAATCCGCTACATCGCCAGTCTCCACCTCAGAGTTCTGCACTTAGTGGCGATAGTGCCTTGTCAAACTCCATGAATCATGTAGCTTTACCAACAGACTCTAACACAAACTCTGGTAAGCATCAGCTTCAGTCATCTGCCAATCAGTCTATGCAAATAGGATTGTCAGACACATTATCTGGCCCTCCATCATATCCTGGTAGTATGATTCTTCCTGCTATGGGTCAAGATAAGTTCCCTAGTGATCTGGACTTGGATATGTTTAATGGAAGTTTAGACTGTGATGTGGAATCCATCATTCGCAATGAACTCATGGATGCAGATGGGTTAGACTTTAACTTTGATTCTCTTATATCCGCCCAGAATGTTGTGAACCTGAATGTGGGAACCTTCACTGGTGCTAAACAAACATCAACACAGAGTTGGGTTCCAGGTTGAAATTGCCTTATAATGGCGGAAGCAGGTCAGTAAGAGTATTATTTCAGTATTGGGACATCTACATTTAATGTATAATGACATTGAGTGGTTTAATATGAATGTACTGGACCACTATCAGGAGGTCATGCTTTATTATAGCATAACAAATATGAATTTAAAAATGTAAGTGTTTCTAAGACCTGAAAAATTTAAAGTTACAAGTTGATTAATATTTTTTGGGGCCAAAGTTAACCAGGGCCACTATTCCAAAGTCTGATTTCTTTTTTAAATATGACACAAACTGGACTGAAAGAGCCCTAAGTTAAGACAGATGGATGCATTAAAAAGTGTGTGGGATCTCTGGTTTAGAAAATAATCCTGTGACAATAATGGATGGAGCAGAGCTCTTGAATCTGACATTAATACATTGTAATTTTCTATGGTGTCTGCAAATGTTAGTTTTAATGGACCAGATTTTGCAATTGATGGCATGCAAAGTAACAGTGCCTCCACAAATCTATAAGAATGCTGCCTGTAAAGTTCTAGTGATCTTTTGTGTTATGGATGTAGCTTAAATCTGGCACCAAGTCATGGGAAATTTAATACATGCAAGTAGTAGTCATGTCAGTAAATAGGCTAAGCTGTCAACTAAATTTAATGACTCCTGCATTAAATGCATTGAATCCCTTTAGTTTTACCTTAAGTGAGTGAAACAAATGCATGATGATCATATTCAGGTAAAAGCTAAAATAAAGATAATTTGTTTTAGAAATGTGGTTTATTAATCATAATGGAAGCGTTTGACATTCTGTGCAGGTAGTAACCAGCTGGTTTAAAGATTTTTTTTTCAGTGCTTATAAAGTTGATATGGCAATCAAAAACCCAATTACATCTCAGTCAGTAAGATTTGTACTATTTCCAGGGGCTTTAGCAATGGAAATAACATTGACTAGACTTTCCGTTCTTGCAATGTGTGTATTGATTTCACTGGTGGTGGGGGAGGGGGAGCAAGAGAGAGAGAGATGGGAGCAATGTCCTAAGCATTGCACCCTCAAGAGGCTTGTAGAATCCATGGTGACAGCTTTTGAATTTACAGGCTATTCTGTGCATGGGTGGAGGCCAGAAATTGTCAGTTTCAGTGCAGTAATGACAAATGCTGACAGTTTCGCCATCATTTCTGTTACAATGTTTTGAGAATCAATTCCAGATTTGGATCTCTCTCTGTTTCACCTCCCTCTCCCACTTGCTTGTTAGCCATTGCAAGCTATTATACACTTTGCTACTGATGTGCACACAGACTATTAAGTTGTAAGGTTTTCAGCATTGATCCAATGGTCAGAAAATTACCTTTGGCTCAAAGATTATCGAATTACTGAGCTTTGAAGGATTTGATTTGTTCTGTTAGGTGCATCAATAAATTGATTATTTATGGAAAATGTGGCCTTTTGCAAATCTAGAATCACTACACTTCCCATGATTTACCTGATTGTTAGTTCCTTAAAAATTTGAAGTTGATGAGAATCTTTCTTGCTGAATTTATGTGGGCTGATGTTTACTTTTTTGCTTCATGTAGGATAATCCTTCTTTGGCCACAAGATTTTACATAAAATTGTAATTAAATTAAAGGGTCTGTAATTACTTGTCTGTTCTGTCATCCTTTTTTGACTGCAAAATGAAATGCCGTCATGTTAAATTTGTTGAGCTTTAAAGTTTTCGTATATCTCGGCGATATTGTCAGGTGCTGTTGAATAAAGACCTGAAATGTTCATTAAATACCAATTAAAAATTGACAGATTTGTGGATCTTTCGTTGATTTGCTTGTGCCCTAGGATGCAATGGTATAGCTGACCTTAATAGGAAAATGCCTTGTGGCCGAAAAGACAAATTTTCATGTCGTAAATGGTGTCCAGTATTTAAGCTATTCAATTTGCAAGTTAGGAATTAAAATGTTCGAAACATTTTAAGTTTCCATGTTCTAAATAATTAAGTAGTGTCTTGCTTGCAAAATTAACCTGTCATCAGAATTATATACTGAATAGCAAAGCTTGCTTTCAAAGGTCAAACTTGGCATCCTCTTTCAAATCATAGGAAGGTGAATTGCTGTTTTTAATCTCCAGGGAACTCGGAAGGTCCCACAGAAATGTAGAGAACTAGTTCTTCCTATAAATGGCTCATGACATCTTTTATTTTGCATTGTGTGTGCCATTGGAGACTCCACTGACTATCCATATTTTAAGATCAGTGTAAACAAGATCAGTTTAAACAGTGTTCATGTAGTTTCTGGTGGAGCAGGCAATGTATTTATTGCAGCCAAATGTTTAAAGTCATTTATACGTGTTGTTAGTAAAATGGCAATATTTCAGTTTGTGTTGAAGCTCTTAAAGGTAATATGCAATGAATGGTTCAGTGTCTGCTTTTCCAGTTTGCAATCTTGTTTTAGAACTTAATTTTGTAAGTTTTGCCTGCTTATTCCCCTCATAATTCCCAACAGCATCTCTACTTCAAGTTTTATCAACAGTCCAAGTTATTGATTGCTATAGTCCCCTCCTAAACTACATTATAGTCTGCCTCTTGCCAGCCCTAATCACAGAAAATAACTTGTTGAATATCTGTTATCTTCAAGCTGACTTTCTTAATTGTGATCCTTGTGTGCTTTCTTGCACGTTTTGTTTTTTTAAAAATAGATGTATTTCAGAATTGGACTTCTGACCTGCTCCTGTAGCCACAGTGTTCATGGTTTGGTCAATGGTTGCACCCAGGATATTGATAGGGATGATATCCAGTGATGCTCTGCAATCATCTGCAGACGTCCCACTTCTGACTTTGTTAGAGGGCAAGCTGTTGATGAAGCAGCTGAAGGCGGTTGGGCCAAGGACACTGCCTTGAGGAATTCCTGCAGTGATTGGGGAGGTGGTGGCATGCAGGTATTGCTACTTGACTAGCAATCCACTGACTAATGCTCTTTGACATAGATTCAGATCTCACCATGGAAGATATAGAAATTTGAATTCAACTTTTCTTAGAAAAAATCTGAAATTTAAAATAAAAAACTTACCTAATGCAACCATATAACCACGGTCAATTGTCATACAAACCTATCTGGTTCAGGAAATCTGTCATCCTCACCTGATCTGCCCTACATGTAATTCCAGGCCCACAGTGACTGAGTCTGAACATTTAGCAATGGGCAATAAACACTAGCCGAGCCAGCGGTGCCCTCATCCCTTCAATAATAATGGATTTTTAAAAAAAATTATTGGCCTGCAACAGCCGGAACCATCTTCCTTTGTCCTGCGCAAAACTTCAACCAATTTGAGCTATTTTACCCTAATTCCGATAGACTTCAATTCTGCTAAGACTGCTTGATGTCACAGCCAAATGCTGCCGGGATGCCAAGGGTGTCACTCTTACCTCACTCTGGAATTAATCTCTTTTTGTCCATATTTGCACTATGTTTAATGATGTCTGGAGCTGAGTTGCCTTGGTACCAAAATTGAACATTAGAAGACACATTATTGTGAAGCGTATGCTGATTGATAGCACTGTTGACAACCGTTTCCATCACTTTTAGTGTAGGCTAATGGGGCAATACATGGCCAAATTGAATTTGTCTTTCTTTCATGGTTGTATACAAGATGCATTTGTGCAATTTTCCACTTCAACATGTCGGTGCCAGTGTTTGTAAAAGAAGCTTGGCTAAGGGTGCAGCTAGTTCTAGAGCACAAGTCTTTGGTAGGATCCAGATTTGTCAGGTCCTTTAACTTTGCAGGAAAGGTGCTTTCACCTGTTTTGCCACCTTGTGGAGTACATCTAGTTGACTGAAGACTGTCATTTGTGATGCTGAGGACCTAAAAGTGTTTTTGCATTTTCAAATATCTCGATACTGTTAGCTTCTAATTTCTGATAATGAAATTATCACCATCTGTTATCATTCTGGGATAGGAAAGCCAGTCCAAGAATTAAAAAGACATCCTTCTTTGTCTGCCAGTGATTCTGAAATATTTACAAAACCTCCATTTGGAAGCTCTTGTTGAGCCCCAATTGGGAGGCAGCACCATAGAGACTAGTGTGTTTCAAATGCATAGTTACCCTTTAATTTCATAAGTAACTTGTCACTTCGGGGCAATTTAGTTCAGATAATCTGTGAGACTCACCAATGGGAGATCTTCTAACCTGTTAACTAGGTGTAGTTCTGCGTACTGGGATTTGCTGCACTTCAAACAAGAAAAAATGTTGCAGTTCCTAGCAGCGCTGCACCTGATTCAATCTAGTCTACATATTCACTGTTCACAGTATGGTCCATTCTATGTTAGGGAGATGACATGCAGACTAGGTGACTGCTTTGCAGAACACCTACAATATATCCACTTAAAAATGACTCCAAGCTTTCAATTGCCTGTCACTTCAACACACCATGTTCCTAGGCCAACTTTTCTGTCGCAGGCCTGCTGTAGTCTTTCAGTAAGCCTCAGCTTGAAGAACAGCATCTCATTTTCTGCTTGGGGACCCTGGAGCCTCTAGGACTTAACATCGCGTTTCAACAAACTTCAGACTCTTTTTTTTTTATATATGTCCTTCCATGCTTTTTACACAAACCCCACACCCTTGTTTTGTCATGGTTGTTTTCAGCACAGCCTATCCACTGTGTCCTAATCTCTGCTTTCATTATCATTTATTCAGTTTCTCCTCTGTCCTGGTTTACTAGCTATAATCCCTTCATTTGCCACTGCATTCATGTCTTGCGCTATAGCACATGTGCTCACGCTATCTGCTCACGCTATCTGCTCACTTCTTTTTCTCTCCCCTTCCCCATGCTCAAAACCTCATCTTCACCAGCCAGGAAAAAATAGTATTTATGCTGTCAGCTCCGATGAATCACCTGACTTGAAACAAACTTTGCTTTCAGCTCACAGATGCTGCCAGATCTGCTGAGTTTCGCCAGCAATTTCTGTTTTGGTTTCAGATCTCCATCTGCAGTTCTTTGTTTCATTAGTGTTCCTGGTGGTGCTGAAGATGTCCAGTGCAAATGCTCTTTATTTTGAAACTGTTTACTATTTTAGCGTTTTTAGTTCTGAATAAAATGGATCCTTGATTTCACAAATAATACAACTATTAATCATGACCCATTCCTTTTTTTGTTTTGAATAAACCTCTTACATTGTGACTCACTTACATCTTTGCTCTAGCCTAGGAATAATAGTCTTTAGTTGTATTTCAAATACAATCTCAACAATGATGGCATTTAGGTGCATTTGTCTCTGGGCTCCATCTGCTCAGCCGTAGATATTAGGTAATGTGATACAGCACAATTAGCATTCTTAAATATTATTGTGCCTTCAAGATCATGTGGTGTGTCAATTGTCCAGTGAATCAAATCCCCTCTATTTCAGTTCATATTCGTCAAAATAACTGCCAGAGCTGTTGCCATGCTCAGAAACTACATTAAGCACTGGTCAATTATGAAAGGATGTAAACTAGTTAATTGTTTCATTCATGGACAGCAAACCACCAAATCTTTTCTATATTCAATAATCAGTCTTCAATCAATCAGAATGAGAATCTATATATATTAATCTGTTGTTACTTGACCTTTCTTTAATAGGAATTGCAGCACATAAGCTGAAGACATTTTACATATATTGGAAGGATAACCTCCTTTTATTCATTTTTCCTTTCTCCCACTTAGGTGAGGAGGCCAAAATGGCACCATTCAACTTTCTGACATGTGTGGTATTTATCCTTGTCCTACCCCTCAAAAATTAATTTGGCTTAATGACAGTTGGTTTCTGCTATTTTTAAGTCTCTGCGTTGTCCTTTATTAAGCAAATAAAGGCAGATGACCTTCATTACTATCCTTGAGTTCGGATTATAAGATTTGAGTGGAAGTTTGATTGGTCCTTCAGTTCTTCTAAATGAGTGCAATGGCCTATCTGAAAAATGTTTGGCTGCAAATGCATTCATTTACTGTAAACCTGGTAGTTTATTTGTTTTTCTTTTGCTGGAAATGTTCAACTTCAAGCTAGGTTAATTTGTAAATGTTGTTGTGATAGAAATATGAGATTTACATTGAGTGCACAAGTATCTAATTTTTTTTTTCCCCCCTCTAGTTAATACGTGTTTCATTAGAAGTGGCAAGCCTTGGTTAGCTTTAGCTGAGGAGCTCCTAGGCAGTAGTTGCTATGGTCCTCAATAAAACATTATTGACAGGATATATTAAAACATGGAAAATAGAAACAGGAGTAGGCCATTTGGCCATTCGAGCCTGCTCTGCCATTCATTATGACCATGGCTGATTATCTGACTCCTGCTTGAAATCATCCCATGTTTTGGCATTGACTATTTTCAGTAGTAAGGAATTCAACAGGCTCACCACTCTCTGGGTGAAGAAGTTTTTCTCTTCGTGTGCTGAGAATGTGATGCCTGGCTTGTACTCTCCCATCACTGGGGACATCCTTTCTGCATCTACACTGTCTAATCCTGATAGAATTTTACAGGTTTCTATGAGATACTCCCTCCACCCACGTTATTCTGAACACCAGTGAATATAATCCTTACTGCTTCAAACTCTGCTCATATATCAGCCCTGCTATTCCAGGAATCAGGCTGGTAAACCTCTGCTGTGCACCATTTATAGCAAGAATGTCCTTCCTCTGATAAGGAGACTAAAAACTGCACATAAGGTTCCAGATGTGGTCTCCCCAAAGTCCAATATAATTGCAGCAAGCATCTCTGCTCCTACCAAAATTCTTTTGCTATGAAGGCCAACATATCACTTGTCACCTTGATCACCTGCTGCACCTGCATGCTTACCTTCAGTGACTGGTGGATGAGGACACCTAGGTCTGGTTGCACATTCCCCTCTTTCAATGTATAACCAATCAGATAATATCTACCTTCTGTTCTGCTACCAATGTGAATAACCATGCCTTTATCCAGATCATACTTATCTACCATGCATTTTGCCCACTTGACTTGTCCAAATCGCAGTGAAGCATATCTGCATTCTCCTCAGAACTCACTATCCCATCCAACTTTGTGTCATCTGCAAATTTGGAGATATTACATTTAGTTCCTTCATCCAAATCATTAACATATGTTGTGAATATCTCAGTTCCTCGCACTGATCCCTGTGGTACCCCAATAGTCATAGAAAGGTAGAAATCTATGGTGCAGAAAAAGGCCCTTTTGTCCATCATATCCACACCTGTCAAAAACAACCAAGAAACTATTCTAATCCCAATTCGATTCACTGCCTGTCACTGGGGGGTCAAGGACTTTTATTCTTACTCTTTGTCTCCTGTTTGCCAACTAGTTTTCTATCCATCTTAATGCACTATCCCAATCCCATGTGTTTTAATTTTACATGCTAGTCTTTCATGTGGGAATTTGTTGAAAGCCTTCTGAAATTCCAAATAAACTTCTTTAACTAGGTCCCCCTCATCAACTCTACATGTCACATCCTCAAAATTCCAATAGATTTTCATAAATCTTTCCTGGCTCTGTCCAATCTGCCACTGGTTTCCAAGTATTCTGATTTAAATCTTTCATAATGGAGTCTAGCAGTTTCCGTACTACTGATATCAAGCTGGTCTGTAATTCTTAGTTTTCTTTCTGCCTCCTTTTTAAAATAGAGGGATTATATTAGCTATCCTCCAATCCGTTGAAACTGTAACAGAGTTTACAGAATCTTGGAAGATGCCCACTAATCCATTTACTATTTCTAGGCAACTTCCTTAAGCACTGAGAGATGTAGATTATCAGGCCCTCAGGATTTATCTGCCTTCAATCCCATCAATTTCCCCAACACCATTTCCTTACTAATAAGGAATAATATTAAAGCCCTGGAGAGAGTGCAAAGGAGATTTACTAGAATGATACCAAGAATGAGGAATTTCAGATAAAAGGAAAGATTAGAGAAATAGGTGTTATTCTCTGTGGAGCAGAGAAGATTGAGAGGTGACCTTATTGAGGTGTTCAAAATTATGAACAATTTTGACAGTGTAATGAAGGATATTCTGTTTCCACTAGTTGGTTTATCAGTAACTGAGGACCACAATTTTGTGATTGGCAGCAAGAGAGCTGGAAACGAGACGAGCACAAATTTCTTCACTTGGTTTTTAAAATTTGGAATGTGCTGCCTGGGAGAGTGGCAGAAATGGATTCCATTGGGAGGTTTCAAAAGAGCTGGATAAATATTTGAAGTAATTGCTTTAGAGGGTCAAAGAGAGAGGGCTGGAGAATAGGACTAACTGAGTAGCTCTTTCAGAAATTGGTATGGACATGATGGGCTGAATGGCCTCCTGTACTGTAAAATTTGATGATTCTGGTACTGATTCCCTTCAGTTCCTCCCTTTCACGAAACCCTGTGTTCCCCAACATTTCTGGTATGTTATTTGTGTCCTCCTTGTGAACAAAGAACCAAAATATGTATTAGTTGGTTAGCCATTTCTTTTTCCCCCAATTATAAATTCCCCAATTTATGATTGTAAGGGGCCTACATTTGTCTTCATATAACTATAGAAACTTTTACATCCAGTTTTAATGTTCCCTGCAAGCTTACTCTCATTCGGTGCCTTTGTTTTCTTACTCAACCCTTGTCCTCTTTTGCTGAATTCTAAACTGCTCCCACGCTTTGGGTCTTATCTTTTCTGGTCAATTCATATGCCTCTTACTTGAATCTAATACTATCTCTAATTTCCCTTGTAAGTCATGGTTTAGCCACCTTTCCTGTTCCACTTTTGCACCAGAGAGGAATGAATAATTGTTGCAGTTTACCCATGCAATCTTTGAATGCTTGCCATTGCCTTTTCACTGTCATTTCTTTAAGTAACATCTCCCAATCTATCATCACCAACTTGCACCTCATACCATCCTAATTTTCTCTTTTCAGATTCAGGCTCAGAATCAACTACTTCACTTTCCATCTTGACAAGGTAATCTATTTTATGGTTGCTCATCCCCAATTGACTTCACACAACTACATTGCCAATTCTTCCTTTCCCATTGCATAACACCCAGTATAGGATGGCGTGTTCTCTAGTTCGTTTCTCAATCTATTTGTTCAGAAAACCATCCTGTGTACACTTCAGGAATACTTCCTTTACGGTATTCTTACGAATTTGATTTGCCTAATTAAGTCCCCTGTAATTAAGATGTTCCTTTTATTGCATGCCTGTCTCATTTTCTGCTTAATTCCATTCCTAATGTCACCCCTACAATTTGGGGGTCTGTGCACAACACTGACTAATATTTTTTGCCCCTTAGTGTTACTAAGCTCCACCCATACAATTTCACATCTGAACTATATCCTTCCTCACTATTGTGTTAATTTCCTCTTTTAACAGCAATGCAACTCCACCGCCTTTTTCCTTTTTTGACCGTCCAACATAAATACTGAATCATTCTGGATATTCAGTTCCCATCCCTAGTCACCCTGCAGCCATGTGTCAGTAATCCTAACTATATCAAACCTGTTTTTATTTATTTGTGTGGTTACTAAATATAGAGCATTTGCAATAAGGTGGATGAATTAAGGTACAAAGTTGTAAGGTTTGACTTTTTAACATTACTTGTCCCATTCTGATCATTTTTTTACTGTATCCCTATTTGATCCTGGCTCATGATTTCTTTGCCAAAACTTTTCTTATCCATCTTACTGTCTTTTACGATCATCCTTAATCCCCCTTCCTCCTCTTTTCATAGGTTCCCACCCTCCTCCTATTTTAGTTTGAAGCCTCCCCAACCACTTAACAAATACTCTCTCAAGGACATTAGTCCCGGTCCCACCTCTCCCAGAAACAGTCCCAATGCTCCCTGGAATCTGAAACCCTCCCCCTTCATGCGATCTCATCAGCTACATTTCCATCTGATATATCCTGTTATTTTCACTCTGTCTAGTATTTGGCACAGCTATCACTACCTTTTGAGGCCCTAATTTTCAACTTGTATGTTCTGCTTTCAGACCTCATCCCTTTCTATACCTATGTTGCTTGTACCATTATGTCCCATGACCACTAACTGTTCACCATCCCCATTCAAAATTTTGTGCAGCCACTCTGAAACATCCTTGACCCTAGCACCAGGAAGACAACATGCCACGCTGGAGTCTTGTTTGTGGCCACAGAAAAGCCTTTATATCCACTTCACAATTGAATCCCCTCTCACAATTTTTAATTCCAAAAATTTTTTACAGTGGTACTGTACAGAGAATTTTGTTTTTAGGAGTGTGGTCAGCACTTTGTTTTGAAGTTCATATCGTTTTCCCAAATTTATTCACTGTGTTTGCACATTCAGTTGATTATTAAGCTTATTTTCCTTTTAAATGCCACCTCCTTATTTATGACTAAGAATACTTATACGGAACTAACCTGAAATAATTGTTTAAAATAGTGGTTATTTAAAGATTGCTTTCTAAAGACAGTACATTATCGTGATTTTGAAGATCTCATTCACTCCATTAAAGCAGTGGCTATGTCACAAAAATACCTTATTTGCTAAAGTGCTTTGGGATGTCCAGTGCCTATGAAAGGTGCTGCATAAATGCAAATTTCTTTTTAAAAATTAGGAATTCTTTTATATAAAAGTCTGCACTATTGGAATGTATTTCGTTTTTATGACATTTGAGACTTTTACTTAACTGTAAAATAGTCAAGGTGGATGGTCAGCTCCCTGACTTTCCTTTCTTCGGCAGCCAAAATCCTAAGAATTGGTCAAAACTGAAGTCTGAAAGAAGCACATCTTCAAATTCAATTTCTCAATCCAAGCATTGTATAAATAAGTAAATGTATTCAAACATGTATTTCATCACATTTGTCTTTGGACATGGGGTAAGAAAGAACTTGTGTTTGTAGTCCCTTCACTGCCTCAGAATGTCAAAAGAACTTTACTTCAGTAGTAAATCATTGATTGTCTATTCATTGTTTTCATTTAGAAAATATGGCAGCCAATTAACAGTAAGGTACCATAAATAGTAGTGAGACGATGACTATATCTTTTTGCATGTTTAGTGAGCAATAAATATTAAGTGAGAGGCCAGAGAGAACTCCTGCATACATCATCTAATCGTACTATGAGATCTTTTGCATAAGTCTGAGTGTGAATGTGGCTTTGTTTTACTAGCTCATCCAAAAGATATCTCTTAATATCCTTTAGAATTCCCAAAGTATTGTACTGAACTGTCAGTCTATATTCTGATCCTCAAGTCTCTGGATTAATGCAAGAATGTTACTACAAGCCAAAAGTCTCCACACAGATATGCACAGTTCAGTGATCTTCAAGTTACTGGGCAGGAAAATTAAAAGGGTTATCTGTTTAAATCCGCAACACATTCCAAAGTCTCTATTACTTACAACTAAAGTATTGTGTAAATTAAAGCATGAATTAGTTTTTACAGTTAGCTAAATTCAATATGGATAACACCGACTCCCTCATTATTTAGAAGACTTTTGGATGTTTGTAGTGACTTATCTGAAATATTCTAGTCATTCCAAAATTAAATTGCATATTGTCATCAGTGAATTCCTGCTAAATTGTCTAAAGATGCATATGACTTTATTTTGGAGAAGCTGGAGGGTAAGAAATAAGTTTGAGCTCTTATTGACTTTCTTTTTCTCCCTTTCCTCTAGGTTAGTGAACTGAAGACTTTTGCCAAATCAGGTGTCAAGATAATATGAATTTGATTATAGTAAATTTATTCGACAGCTGTAAATCTGACATTTCATCTGCAAAGGCGATAGTTCTTGGAATTGCATATCAATACGAAAGATGTAAACCAGAAGAATGCGAAGTCAAGTCAAAATGAATCCTGAACTGCCTGAAAAGGAAATTGTTGTAAAGTTTCCCGTGTCCCATGATCTTTAACCCTGTATAAATTGTTGGTTGATACGGGTAGGTGCATACTTTAAGTTTTTAGTATTTCCTGTCTGAGATCAGCATCTGCCCACGGCCTCCATTGTATAGCTATCCTTGAAGTATTGATGGAATGGGACTGATGAGCAGTGTCATCAAAGGTATGAATATTGATGAGGAAATGAACACATATATACTTACAGAATAAAACAAGACAAATTAGCATCATCAGAATGCCAGAAGACTTATTATACAGATGAAGGTTTTTATCCTTGTTAATCTGCTAGTCTGCAGTATTTTAAGTAACTTGAAACTGCATGAGCTTAATAGTATAAGTTGAAGTGTGACTTTGAGCGAACCTTTACAATTTATGGCCCTACATTGTTTGGTCTTTTATAATAGTGTCAAGGAACCCAGTTTAGCAGTTGTGTTTCAACATTACATTTAACTGGGAATAATACTGCTTGTAAATCTTTGCTTAACTTTACAGACCAATCTTTTGAACAAATCTTTATCTTGAGAGTAAAGTAGTTGGAAGAAAGAGGAGAGACTTTCATATGTTTACAAATTATCTTGTTCCTAGAAAACAGCCAAAATTTTCTCTTCTGAAGTAATCTTTGCATGAATTGAGATCTAAAACGTATTCACAAGATTGGAAAATTTGACCTATATACACATCCATCATTGTAGAGAACTTTCTAGGATGTGCATCTTTTTAAAGCAATTTTTAAAATTTTCTTTCTTACCATTGACTACAGATTTATCTGTTCTAAGGACAAATCATATCAGCAGATAACAAACTGCCTCCCTTCTGAACAGAGCCCTCATTGGTCAACTGTAATGTAGTTTATTTTCTGTACATACATTTACGCTCAAGTTGATTTGCATACTGCATTTCTGTATTGCATTTGTACATTTATTGAAAGTTTTGTGTATCTTTGATCATGATTTTGAACAGTTTCTATATAAATACAGACCAGCTCAGATTACATCAATTGATGCATATTTCTTCAAACTTGTGTAAGATTTTCTCTATACAAAAGGGTGATGCACATTTATATTTTATGGGCAGAGACAAATCATCATTATGCATGACTATTTAGTAGGTAAATTAGATTGTCTCAGTTCATTGCATGAAATTCCAGGTTGTCACGCTCATTGATGTTAGTGCCCCTGGAGAGCTAGCAGTGAAACAAAACGTGATGGAATATTGTTGTATAACTTGGCTGTCTCGTTTAAATGGATACTAGATTTTTCATCATGCAATTTACTATTCTATTTGTAGAATGATAGCATATCAATTATGGCCACTGAATTATTTTCATCAAATGTAAATGAGTTTAAGATAGTATATTCATTCCAGCTGTTTCTGTTCAGCATTTTCACTTAAAGTTGTAATCTTTAAGTAATTTCTAAATCAGTATTTGGAGATTTCTGCACAAATCGGTTTTCTTAAATTTGCATGGTAGAATAGCAATTAAACTGCTTATGTTCCTGATATGCTATATTTCGATCTTACTAAAACTGAATCAGACACTTAGTGTTAGTTCTCATCCAGGCTATAAAAGTTGACAAATCTCAGGCTAGCGTCTCAGGATATGGAGAGAAGGTTCTGCAGGGATCTACAGTAATTCACATTCACACAACTTCTTTATGATGCAAGTATAATTGTGGAAGTGACAGACCAGTTGAGGGTGTGAAATAAAAATATTTCCACTTTAAACACTTGCAAAATCAAACTAATTTTAAATGTACTTCATTCTAATCTGACCTTTTAAAACTCATGTATCCAGTTTACTGTTCTGTGCAAGATTAAATTTAATGGCCAAATTACTACTATAGCTCGCTGTAACATGGCTCACATCAGCTATCATCTGCCTCTTGGTTAAATATATTTGGTTTGAGGTACCGTCGAGGAAACTGCAACAGTTCAACTTTCTGAAACAGGCCATGCAATACTTTATTTTTATGTCCACCCTTCAGTCAATTCAGCCTGTGTATGTTATTCAGATTTTGTGGTTTTTAGCATTGGTTAAAACTGTGCTGTGAATGCCCTAAATCTTGTTTTTACAATACATACTTTGGGTTGCAAGAAGTCTGTAAAACCACTTTATATTGAGAAAAGGTATATTGTGTAATGAGACAGTTGAATATACTATCTTCTCCTCTTATACCCCCAAACCCCAAAATAAAATGTTAGTTTTAACAGGAAAAGAATGGTTCTTTTGAACTGCAGGTTTTTAATTGCATAAATTATTCGTATGTAATGCCCTGTGTATTTCATTAATCTGTGCTCTAAGAGAAGAGTGCGCATGTAAAATAAAGCTTGGTAACACTATTGAATTGGACTTGGTCCCTAATAGCAGTCATTTTCATATTCACATTCAGTCCATAGGTTATTCTAAATGGTAGACCACAGGAATTATTGCACAACACGTTATCATTTTACATTGTTCAACTGGAGCTATTGATCATTCACTTTGGTAAAGCTGTCCCTATTCGAATAACATGAATTTCTTTTTGATTTTTGTCATCTTTCCTGAGTCTATGCCTCTTGTCTATACCTAATCTGTGCACTATTGGAACTGCAACTTGTATTTTACTTGCATTGTTTGAAGAAACTTTTTCTTTTTGAATGAAGTGAAATTCCAGTTTTTTCCAAGCATTTTCTTCATAACTTCAACCTCGTCCTGGAAGTCTGATGAATATGTTCCTGCACCCTTTCAAATGGTTCAAATGACTTTCTGTAAGGGGTTACTCAGAATTCCCACAAACAGTTCCTATGTAAATTCATCATAACATAAATGTGTAAATATGATGGATTAGAAAGGGTTTGCAGGAAGACAAAAATGCCTCAAATATTCTTGGTCTGTAGGCTCCAAGAATTCTTAATCCAGCCTGTAAAATATATTCTAGAATGACTTGTAGGAACTAGTTTTGTAAAACATTTTTGTAATTTAAAAGATCAAAAAAGGGAAAGCCTTAATTCCAACAAAATTACAAAACATTGCATGGGTTAGAAAATCATAGCTCATATTTACATATAATGAGAAATTGTTCCAAGTTTGATAACTGAGTTTCATACTTGAGTCTCATTGATTCCAAGAAGAAGTCTAGTGTTGGGTTGTGAACCTGTAATTTTATTTTTTTTAATGTTTTAAGGACTCCTACATCAAGAACACTCAACATGTGTAAGGTTATGAGGTACCATTATCCCTGTACTACCAATTGCCAAGAAAATCTTCATCAGTGAGGAGTTGCTGTTTAGTTATGAGGACCTGAGGTTTGTGATTAGAAATTAAGAATTATTCATTTTTTTCAGAATTTTAATAAGATTCAAATGTCAACAGTGTTTATGAAGACAAGAGCTGAAAAGGCTACCAACAAAGTTGCTTTGAATTTGACAGTCTTGACTGAAGGATAGTATCCACAAGAGAATGAACAATGTTCCAGTCATTTGCTAGTACCCAGCCAAAGTAAGGCAATCCAAAGGCATTTGGGGAAGGCTTATGTACTTTTGATAAGTAAAGCCTGAAAATTTATAATGTAGTTATTTGGATTTATAACATGATTCATGACATTGTTTCATTGTTGACATCAGTTGACTGAACATTTTTGCTGCTAAAGGTTAATGACTCAGCATCAGAATTCTTAAGTCTGACAAAGCAAAAAAAAACCTGTTGTGTTTATTAAGAGCTAATGCTGCTCTTCCTATCAAGTTACTGAGCATTAAGTTAAAGATAATCTGTGCATAGTTGTTGAAGTGATTCTTGGTTACTTTAATTAAAAAAAAACAGATCTGGCATGGTAAGTCTAATTTATTAGCATTATCCAAGGACTACTGTAGTTATTTTAACACCCTTAAATGGTCTTAGGAATTTCAGGATATTGAACCAGCAATGACAGACAAATCAGAGTGCTGGAGGGACAAGGGTTTGGCAGTATCTGTAAAGAGAAAATCATAGTAAATACTTTGAGTCCAAAGACCCTTCATCAGAAACATGATAAACTGATTTAGCTCCATGTCAGAATGGTGTCTGACTTGAATGTGTTGGTGTTCTCATGGCTTTGCTGCTGTTATAGTAATATAGATTGTTGGAGAGAGTGGTGAAATCGAATGAGCCCTGAATACCTGCACAGTAATCTTTAGATTTTGAATGCTCTAGGCCCCAAGTCTGGAATGGGGGACCACGTTGAATCTTGTAAAGTATCACCCCTCCATTTGCAAACTCTTGCAAAGATCCTGATTGTTCCTGATTTACAGCATCCGCAGTTCTTTCGGTTTTTATTTAATCTTCTGATCAATTGCATTTCACAAAAGTAAATAAGAAGAAGCCTGGCAATAGTATGTTGAAGATTGCGGAGATAACAGAATTTTCTCCTGATCAGCAACTGTAAGACACAAATGTTATTGGGGACTTCTCAGCTCAAACCTGCATGTTGTTAGAGTTTAGGTTAGCTGTTTGCTGAATGTGGGATCCTTCATTTTCAAAAGGAATTGTTTTAAAGCTAAACACTTGAATTGTCATTGAAATTCTGCACTCCCTGCCTTTGTCAGGGGAAAGGTAATTTGAAGCATGAGAAGGGGATAAGCAATTAAACCCCTTGAAACTGCTGAAATGCTCCTGCATTTAATTAAATCTTGGTTTATCTGTATCTAACTCTATTTAAGTGTCTCAAGATACCGTGAAAGCTTCAATTGTTCCAGCATCTACAGGCCTTTTTTTTGAGTATGGAGTTCCAGATTTGTCTACCTTTTTGTGAAAAGTGCTTTCCCGTTACACCCCAAACATTACACACCGTGTTCAAACATTAATATTTTAACCTCTCACTGACATTATCTCTCTGTCTTTCAGGGAGCTGGAGGGAATGCAAAGTATTGAAGTACAGAATGGTTTCTTGAATCACAGCAGTGATGTCTTGCATCTGTGATAATGGGACTTTAACTTCATTATCTGTATCATACTTTAATTATTTTCAGTCTGTTCGTCGTTAACTTTTCAGACCAGCCTAAGTAGATAATTGGTTTATGGGAAAACTCAACATGTTGGCAGGTGCCAAATACAATAGACAAGTAATTAAAATTCATAACCCTAGTTATAGACGATCATTAAACTAAAACTAAAGTATAAAATAAAAGGTTTACACAATTATGAATATTTTGATATACAAACCCAGTATGTTAAAATACAGATCCCCTTCATTTACAAAATATAAGTAGGGTCTACTGCTTTATATTATCAGGTTGAGTTCATTTAAATTCTTCTTCACTTACATACTATATTATCAAATGATACTCAGAGGTGGTTTATTCTCATCATTAAAAGCCATTGCTTGCATTGTTTGCTTCCCTACATTAAGCTTCTGCTAAAGGACCAGATTAAGAAAACCTTTAATTAAGTAAAGATCAAGCATGATGTTTGCATATGTGAAATCTTTTGTTCTCGCTCCTTTCCTCTCTTGTTTTAACTGGTCTTCAACTTTGATTTTCTTGCACAGCACTCACAGTTGCTAAGGTTTGAAGCAGTTTAGGAAAGACCTGGAGAATTTTTTTTCATGGGTATCGCATGCTGGCCAGCATTTATTGTCCATCCCTAGTTGCCCTTCAGAAAGTGGTGGTGAGCAGCCGTCTTGAGCTGCTGCTGTCCATGTGCTGTGGGTTGATCCACAATGCCCTTAGGAAGGGAGTTCCAGGATTTTGACCCAGTGACAATGAAGATACTGTGATGTATTTCCAAGCCAGGATGATGAGTAACTTGGATTGGAACTTGCAGGTGGTGGTGAAGTATCTGCTTCCCTTGACCTTCTAAATGGAAGTGGTTGTAGGTTTGGAAGGTGCTGTCTAAGGATCATTGAATTTCTGCAATGCATCTTGTAAATAGCAGCAGTGTGTGCTATTGAGCGTCAGTGATGGATGGACTGGATGGATGTGCTGTCAATTAAGCAGCCAGCTTTTTCCTGGATGATGTCAAGTTTCTTGAATGATGTTGGAGCTGCAGTAATCCAGGCAAATGGGGAGAATTCCATCATGTTCCTGACTTGTGCATTGTAGATGATGGATAAGCTTTACGGACTTGGGAGGTGGAACCCAAACTAGGCATCGCTGAGCGGGTCCTGCTTGATAGCATTGCTGTTGACACTTCCCATCGCTTTACTGATGATCTAGAGTAGACTGGGCAGTAACTGGCAGGGTTGAATTTGTCCTGCTTTTTTTGTGTACAGGAGATATCTGGCAACTTTCCATATTGTCAGGTAGATGCCAGTATTATAACTGTATTGGAACAGCTTGGCTAGGGGAATGGCAAGTTCTGGAGCACAAGTCTTCAGTACTGTTGCCAACAATCACTGAATATTGTCAGGGCTCATAGCCTTTGGAGTATCTAGTGTCTCCAAATATTTCTTGATATCACGTGGAGTGCATTGAATTGATTTGAAGACTGGTATCTGTGATGCTGGGAACGACTGTAGGAGGCAGTGATAATCATGCATGCGGCACTTCTGGTTTCTCCCATTGTCCTCTGGATGGCAATGATCATGGATTTCAAAGATGCTATCTAGAGAGCCTTAGTGAATTTCTGCAGTGTGTCTTGTAGTGTACACTGCAGCTATCTGCTGATGTTGGTGGGGGAAGGAGTGAGTGTTCGTAGATGTGCCAATAAAGATGGCAGTTTTGTCCTGGATGGTGTCAACTCCTCGAGTGGTACTGGAGCTGCACTCAATTAGGCAAAGTGGGGAATATGCCATCACAGTCCTAACTTGTGTCCGTTAGGTGGTGGACAGGCTTTGCGGAGTTAGGTGGTGAGTTACTTGCTGCAGTACTCTTAGCCTCTGACCTGCTGTTGAAGTCACTGTATTCAATTTTTGGCTAATGATAACCTTCAAGGATGTTGATAGTTAGGGGAGTTCAGTGATGGTAACACCATTGAACATCAAGAGGTGATGGTTAGATTCTCTTATTGGAGATGGTCATTGATGCAAATTTTACTTGCCACTTTTCAGCCCGAGCTTGGATATTGTCCAGATCTTGCTGCATTTGATCATGGACTGTTTCAGTCTCTGAGGAGCCATGAATGGTGCTGAACATTGTATACTTATTGGCGAACATCCCCACTTTGTCCTTGTGATTGAGGGAAGGTTGTTAAAGCAGCTGAAGATGGTTGAGCCTAGAACACAACCTTGAAGATCTCCTGCAGAGATGTCCTGGAGCTGAGGTGACTTGACCTCCAAAAATCACGATGTGGAGGTGCCAGTGGAATAACATGTTATTCCGGTCATTTGGTTTGTGTCCAGCACCAGCTTGTTTTAATTTTTTGTAATTATCTCTCTAGCTCAATTAATCAGTT